AAGAACAACACGCACAATTTGAACAGAAATGTTCTCATCTAGACAGCTGACTGATTGAAGATTCACTTTTTAAAGTACAGATTTTTTGGTCACTCCTCACTCAGGGCCATGCAAGCAAATCTGCATCTGGGAAAGGGTGCTTCCTGGCACCACCAGTGCTTGCAAACCCACACATTTCTCACGTAACTATTTTTCCCTAAAAATAAAAAATAAAAACAAGCAAAGAAAACCTGACTTTCCCAATGGTAGCCTTGAAAACAGCACTGCATCTTCCCTAGTTGGTCTTATAGTCAACAGCTCTACGGTATGAAATTGCCAGCTTGCTATGGAAGTGTTTCATAGAAGAGCAGACTGTGTGCTAACACGCATCCAAAAAACGTGTAAACTTGCACATGCAATTTTAATGCAGAGTGCTAATACAGGAATTAGCATTTCCAGCTAGGTGAACTATGCATCCACTCAGAATGCCCAGCAGCGTGCTGATGCTGCCATCAAGCGGATGGCCCATCTACACAACACTGAATTTTAAATGACTTCCACAAACAGTAAAGATAAATGTATTTTGGAGCCATACGAAAGATTTTGGTAATTTCTTAACCATACAGACAAATGTCTGCACTCTCAAGCCAGTAAATTATGCAGATGCAGCTTAATGCAACAGATTCCTGGATGCACTCAAGGCCAGGCTGTCCTGGGCAGCCTGAGTTGGTGGGGACCAGCCCTGCCCAGGGCAGGGTTGGAGTTAAGTGGGCTTTAAGGTCTCCCTCAACCCAAGCTATATTCTGTGTTTCCATTATTCTGTGATTTAAATGTAGCCACAGCCAGAATCTCTTCTTTTGCTGTAATAATAAAGAGGAAATCTATTTGCACACACATTGCACACATGACCACGTGACAGTTAATTGACAAATTATGGCAGATGTTTAGATACCTAGAGATAGCAAAGGTGGCCGGGTTCTGTTCAAACTGAGGGTAAGAATGGGACTCCAAGGAGCTTAGCCCTGGCCATGAGATGAAAAGAATGTTCAGCATCTAAAAGCTGAAAAAAATCAACTTCAGTTGTCTATCAACTGCTGGCCAAAAGCTCAGTTATGTTCCAAATGCAAACATCATCTGCTTCACACAATTTTTGGCCAAAAAAAAAAAAAAAAAAGAAGGCAAACTAACAGCATTCTGCCAGTGTTCTACAGCAAAGTTTATCAAAGCTGCAGTTTCTACAGTCATCCCCCATTGAGTACAGAGAAGCTGCTCACTGAGACAGTTGAGTTCTCTTAGCTTGAAAGGGCTGCTTAAATCATTGTCCTTGAAACACAGCAGTTTTAAGGAACAAATGAGCTTTATGCTTTTAATAGCATTTATTTCCCGACTCAGATAATCTAAATATTTTTCAAGCATTTGAAGGGACAGAAGAATAAAATTTTTGCCTGCCTTCTCAAAGCCATTTTCTATACAGGTGAGAGAAATATGGGCCCTTTACCACAGCGCTCTTATGGAAGGAAAATAAATAAATAAATAGATAATTGAAAATGGAGCTGCAGACAACACTCCCCTCTAGGGGCAGAAAAAGAATTTGCAATGCTCACTTCAGCAGCGTTTCATTTGTAAACCACGTCAACAAAATATAAGAGATAAGGCCTACCAAATCAAAGACAATCAGAATTATTAAGCTATTCCCCGCAGATAATATTGCTGTTTATGAAATCTATCTAAAGAGAACATTGTGTTCTTATGTTCAGGCAGAAAGGTTTTTATACTGTACGTCACAGAAGCATATTTATTGCAGTTCTACAGCAAAATATATCCTACCAACTCCTGACCTAGACTACAAATCATGGAATGCAACATGCAAAAAATTCAGTTCACTTTATAAGTAAACATATTTATCACGAAAATATATGTACTGCCAAGTGCTAAAGCTGGAAGTTTGCTCAGCTGATCAAACTCGGTATATTTGGAAGTCAAATAAGAGGAGGGTCAGCGTCTGCTCAGCTGCTTTCCTCCTCTTCATTCAGGCAGCCAGATGCAAGGTTGCAAAAGCAATTCCGGCATCTTTGTCAATGACAGAGGGTCCAATCCTCCCAGCACAGATTACTCCTACGTACAGTCTGGGAAGCTCACAATTCCTCCTTGGAAATGAGGGGGATGAAGAGCTAAGGGAGGGCTGTCTCCACATCTCCAGATCCCGTGAGCCAAGTGAGTGGGGTGGGACCTGCAGAACACAAGGCTCATGCCCCAGCTGAGGTCCAGCATCCTCCACCAGCGCACTGCTGTTGAGACAAGAAGCCCTGTGCCCAGCAGCCTAATTTCTCAGGAAATGCCATTCTGGCAGCTCTGAACAGCCATATCTCATTCAAGATCTGCTTGAGGGGCTAAGCACAGGTCACAGCCATGCTGCACAGTGAGGTCAGATTCTTCCACTGCCTCCTGGCACAGCACCACTACTTCTGATGAACTGCCCATCAAGACAGATCGTGATCCTGAAGGCAGCACAGCTCCCTGCATCTTATCACAGCAGCCTCCCAGCATGAGTTTGAACAGAATAGGATGTACTCTCTTTTATTTTTAAAAAGTTATTACTTGCAATAGTGGAAGGGAAGCTATTTAAAAAGCTTTGCGCTCCATTTCTTATCACATACAGCATGGTTAGTGGGAATGTATTTCCATACACATGCACACCCACACTGAATACTCTACACAAAAAGAAAAAAAATATTGTTTCATGTTTTTTAGGCTACAAAAGTATTCTGCATCTCCCTGTAGCCTACAAAAGCCACAAATCCCAAGAAGTCCTAACCTAACATTTTGAGTGTGTCAGCAACACAACTCCCCAGGATCTTCACAGAAGAGGGGTAAGACTGCCTGAGGCATCCTCATCCCTTCTGCTGCCACTTGGGTTATGAGCCAATAAAACAAGGTTGCCTGGTAAAGACACGTAGCACGACAACATGAACATCTGAACCAAGCTCAAATGTTCCTGGAGCAGGGCAATCTTCCCTCTGGTACATACACAGCCTGTATGTACAGGGGTTTCACCACTCCCTGACAAAGCCACTTTCACAGATCAGCTGAGAGGCAACGGCAGCTTGCCCGGGTCTTGTTCTGTTTCTTAAGGTTTCTCCATTACTTGCATAAAAGTCATCAGGAAATGCATCAGTGGCAATCTTTGGGGGTGCACAAAGGTAGCCCTGGCTGCAGTGGGGCTGCTTTTAAGGCAAGAGTTACCAACTTTTTTAAAAAAACAGGTTTCTCTTATAGTTACTTTGACTTTCATTAATCCAAACATGTATGCATATCCTCACATAGATTCGGGAGTTTATTGCTCTCAACAGCGACCTGAGAGGAGGTTGTGGCTAGGTGGGGATTGGTTCTTCTCCCAGGTAACAGTGATAGGAAAAGAGGTAATGGCCTCAACTTGTGCCAGGGGAGGTTCAGGTTGGATATTAGGGAAAATTTCTTCTCAGAAAGAGCAGTGAGGCAGTAGCACAGGCTGCCCAGGGAGGTGGTGCACCGTCCTTGAAGGTGTTGAAGAACCATGTGGATGTGGCACTGAGGGCCATGGTCAGTGGGCATGGTGGGGGTGGGCTGGTGCCGGGACTAGATGATCTGAGAGGTTTTTTCCAACTTTAGTGGTCCTACGATTCTATTGCAGCAATCACTAATTCAGCAAAAAGCATGAGAAAAAACAGCAATACGTATAGCAGAAAATAAAGTGAGCTTTTTTTACCTTCTTTTTAACATGACCTGTACCATCTCTTAGCTTTTTCAGCAGTTGAGCAGTTACAAATGTGATTATCTAAAGCTGTAAGGATGTACTTAAGGATACCTCACATCTCCTAAATCTCTTTTCCTCTGTTCCATTCAAGGGAAGGAATTTAACAATAGGGTCAAATAACAAATAAGTAAATAATGAGGACCAGAACACCTGAAATAAACCTTAAGAAGCTCTAGGTGCCTCCATACAGAAGTGTTATTCCTGAGCCAAACAAACATTAACCACTCAAAGCCCCCCAAATGTCTACTAGCCCTAAAATGCCAGCCCCACAGCAGGATAGGAGTGCTTAACTTCACCAGGGGGCAAGTGCTCAAAATCCTCATTTCAAGGCAGCCAATGCCAGGTCCCCAGCCACTCTGCTGGGTCTCATGCATCACTACAGGCTCCTATCAGACAAGCTTAGAGTAGGCTTTTTCTTTCATCTCTTTTCAAGTCTTGTCCGTATGACTACACTCTCAGAGAAAACCTTCCTGAAGATACATGGAAGTCTTAATTACTACAGCCTAATTACTTTTAATGAGCAAATAGCCATATACTGACATGGGATTTGGCCTGAGAAGAACTTCAGACAATCCTCTAATGTCACTGATATTATATATAATATCTAGGTTATGCAATGATGAAGCCTGACAGTATCCTCTAATCAGATGAGGAGCACAACCCTGAAGAACTCAGATGCCAATTTGCTCCTCTGGAGCTGGCACTGCCAGCTTTGTTTTCAGGAAAATACTTGCTAAAACAGCTCCTCAGTGCTGCTAGCATACTTCATTTATCTCTGTGATGATTTGCCTTTTAGAACAATTAGTGAAATAGAGAAAGTAATAACAAAAGCTTCAGGGGTTCAAACTGTAGTGCCCCAGAACAAGATGCCAGTCTGTGTGGCCTTTGGGACAGTTCTGCAATTAGCACTGCAGCTACAAACACAAACAGTAAGAGGGAACAGATCTGCACTAAAAAAGCTGTACAGAATCATCGAATCTGTTGAGAATATGTTTTTCACTTAATCAAAGGAAATATCTAAGCACCAGCAGTATTCAGAAGCTACAAATTAATTGGTACTTGTAGGCAGTGATTACGTGATTCTCCTCTTTTCTTGATATTCGTATCAATATGTGTGAATGACTGGTTGCATGGCTCTGCTGGGGGTGGGGCAAGTGCCACTCTCCCCTCCTGAATTTGCAGATCTAGCTGGGAAACTGCATAAGAATAAATGAATCCAAGGTATTACCTCATTGTGTACAGCAGAGTGCCGTCATCCTCAAGGCGCAGAAGTTTGTTTGGTGTCGTCATGTTGTGAGCAATAGACTTCTTGCCATTGTGGAAAAAAGTGTCTGGTGTCCAGATTTTGCTGGCGAGCAGGTTGTTGAGAGGGAGACGCTGCATAGGTCCTTTGAATCGAAGCCTTTCGTCCTTCCAGCTTTGTCGGAAAAATACATCTATGGTGTATTCCTTGCACAAAGAAACAGGCAGGTTACCAGAGGGTCAGAGCAGCAGTGATGATTCTGAAAATGACTTGAGCCCAGTAAACACAAGCGAGTCGGAAGCCATGTGCTAGAACTTACCATCTCTGTGTCTGACACAGGGCCAAAACTGGTAACATAGATGTCTGTTTTCACCTGAGTTATTCTCTCTGCAACAAATATAGACTCTGAGTCAGTAATTGCTTTAAGATGCAGTTCGTGCTTCTGATGCATTTCTCTTTTAACAACTTCTGAATCACTCCAAAATCCCCAAAAGCTTGAAATTAAGAAAATGTTTAAAGAGACATTCCATCCCTGATCAAATGCAAATCAACCGTTGAGAGTCCAGGTTCTTTCCCTATGATCACTGGAAAGAAACATGTCCTTCAAGGTTGCAGCTCCCCTGACCTCACTTTCAACATTGGCCATAGGGTGAGTATGCCTTGGAAAGGCCTGTTTCCCTCCACTTACCAGGCTGGTTTGCTTGATGGCAGACATCAGTATTACAGTTGTTCAAAGTTAGGTGAAATTAGTTCTACTGCCCAGATTCTGAAGACTCAAGACTGAAGCCCAGAGGAGTGCCTTGAGGCTTCGAGGCCAACACACCTAGAGGCTGGCCTGGAGCCTCAGAGATCTAGAGGGAGGCCTAAACTAAAGGCCAAAAGGCCTACTGGTCACAAGACTGACACAGAAATCTTTAGGTTCTGAGGCCAAGCATGCTGCTAGAGGAATGCCAAGAGACAGCCTAAGAGTCCTCAGGGCAGAGGCACAAAAGGAGACCTAGAGGATTATAGGCATAGCTTCCTAGAAATGTCAGAAGTTCATTACATAAGATGGGAGAACTGAGCCCTATTTTCAAGCATCTCTGTGTAAAGTGAGAGGAAAAGGAGAGAAAGGAATGAAAGCAATGTGTTGGTCTCATAAGAGGAAGGGGTGGGGGTAGTCGGATTAAAAAAGGGCCAGGAAGAAACATAACAGATGGTTTACACATGAGTAGAAGATGAGAGAAATCTGGAGGAAAGAGAGCTGAGGGAGGGCTCAACAGGGTTAGGATGGCAAGTAACTACTCACATGTTACAGCTTTAAAATAGCTGCTGTAGAGGTTATTGAAATGATGTATCAATAGAGCTTTGCTGTAGCTGTCTAAATACAGGTGGTCTGGGGTTCTGTTTTTAACAGAGGTTCTTGTCACTGGCATAATTTTATACATGCTGACCAGCTAGGGAACCCTGCAGCAACCTGATAGCACCCTGTCTTGCTCACCTTAAAAGAGAGAGAAAAGAAACCCAAACTGTATTCAGTCGCAGAAAGCAGGCATCATACATGCTCTTCTCATTCAACTTAAATGACTCACACAACCAAAAGAAAAAGCCTTCAGTTACTCTTGTACGGGGCCCTGCTTGCCAGAAGACAAGTCTACTTTCTGGGCCCTGTTTGTTTAATGAAACCCATCCCTCTTATCAAGGCTCTGCTGACAGCAGGTGCCCTGCTTAGAGACATGGTTTTGTGGGCAATACAGTTGGTACAGGGATAGTTGACTAGATGATCTAAGAGGTCTTTTCCAACCTCAGTGATTCCATGATTCTGTGATTCTGTGTGAGGGTGGCAGAGGGTCACTGACTACCACCTGCACATTCACTGCCACAGCCACCCAGCTCTGCTACCTCCTAGTCCTGGGCGCAGCCGGTTGTCATAGCCATCCAGCAGGCCATCCAAGATCCTGGTGAAGATGGTAATGTTATCATTGGTGTCCTCTTTTCCTGGTGCTGTCGGTGTTTGAGATAAGCTGTTTCATGCAAAAGAAAAGAGACTCATCAAAAGCTGTTGGCATCATGGGGCGTCAGATTCGTGAAAACTTCATGACAAGAGCCTACCCCCTCCCCTCTCATTTCACCTGCTCCTTGTTTTTTCCTGAAAGGAATACTGCAGAACAAAACCCACAGCTCCTCATTCCTCATCTCTCCTCTGTATTAATTAGTTTCCCTCCTTGTAGTATGCAAATAACAACGGCATGTAGTGGGCCTCATTCCATAAGGGTTCGGCCAGGTTTGTTTTCTTCTGCTCTTGATCTGAACTCTTCATTTCAGTGAGTTATGGAAAGAAGTATTTCAGATATAGACCTTCAAGCCAGAAAAATATTACCATGTTTAATTCAAAATTTGTCTGCTCAAGTGCACATGCCTCAGATCTGAAGCTGGCTTACAGAAAAGCACCTACAAGGATTCCCACAGCACAACTGGAACTTGCACTTCTAAGACCATTTTATTTTCATTCAAGAGAATCCTGTGGCTACTAATGGTTTTGCTTACCTCAAGTTTATCAATAAAAAATGCTTCAACTGCAGCAAGCAATGAGTACCTCTTCAGATGGAAAGCTTGCTCAGACTCAGTGTTTGATTCAAGTTTAAGCCTCTACTGAAATTACCAACAAATGTTTCATCCACTACAAAGGGCACTGCTGATAACCACACCCCATCTTATGCACCCTGTCAAGGGACAGAGATTACTTACACTCAAACAATCTGAACTCACTGTGACCGACTGACCCAGAGATTAAATAAAATCTGTGTTTATTTACTAATAGTCAGCAGGAAAATAAACCTATAATTAAGTAGAGACTCTCAAAGCACTCCTCTGAACACACTGCCTTGCAGAACATTTGTAAAATATGCATTATACTTACCTAGCAAAACTGGATTTATAAGAAGAAAAATAAAGGACTTATAAACCTGGTTTTCCCTCCACAAGGCTTACACTAACAGGACCTTGCTGACACCCATGCAAGACACTTTTGGTGCAGACTGTTTGAGGACACAAGGTCTGCTTCATGCTGGTGGTCACATAGCCCCTCCCAGTCAGACCCAGTTGTGAATCTGTCCCCCAATACATCTTCTGTGCTTCTGCTGAAAAAAGAAAGGATTGCAAAGCCTCTCAGGAAAGGGGAGCAAGGAGCTAGGATGATTCCTAAAAACACCAAATGAGGAAACACTCGAACAAAAGTGATCCTCATAGCACAGGGGATGTTGGCACTGAGGTAATGGCTTTAAGTTGCACCAGGGGAAGTTCAGGCTGGTTATTAAGGAAAAATTTCTTCTCAGAGAGAGCGGTGAGGCAGTGGCACAGGCTGCACAGGGAGGTGATGGTCACTGTTCCTGGAGGTGTTGAAGAACCGTGTGGATGTGGCACTGAGGGATGTGGTCAGTGGGCATGGTACGGATGGGTTGATGGTTGGAGTAGATGATCTTAATGGTCTTTCCCAACCTTAATGATTCTATCATTCTATGATTAAAGAGACATTAGACATCCTGCCTGGTATGCCAAGCCATTCAAGACAAATACTATACTGTTTGTCAATCATGATCGAATGAGCTCACTACTGAGTGTTACAAGCGGCACTCTAACAAAAAAGGACAGGAGACGAAATTTTCACAGATTCTTCAGCTATCATAATTAACGCTTTGGTAAAAGCACTATTTAAAAATTTTCTCATTCCTTTTTAGCCTTTTTTTCACGAGAAAGAGACGTGCATCATGCTGTCTGACTGCTCCACCACATCAACGTAGGAATCCATTCCCACTTTCCAATGCACATAACAGAGAGGCAGAGAGATCAAACTTCATTTCATTTCCACAAGTTTCATGAGAAGCAGTGACTAGACAAGGGGAGAGCGATCTAAATTAATGCCTCATTAAGTAAAAATGTGAGGTCAGCAGCCATCTATTCCCTCTGGCTTGCTGACTCGGCCAGTCAGCACGTATGTAGCTCAAAAACAGCCTCAGCAAAACCAGCCCACCTCCTCTCTGCTAATTAAGAGATACGGAGGAGATTTGCAGGCAATTAGGAAAGATACAGAGAGAAATGGACTGCAGAGGTAAAAGACAGGTGGTGCAATGGGCGATGGGAACAAGGGATGGCAAATATGGAGCAGGGATTATTGTAAAGGTACGGTGCCAGGCACGTAGCATACAAAGCTTCACTAGTTTCTCTGCTCTTGAAAAAGCTTGTTATTTTTAGTGCTCACATCTGAATTCAACACCAGTTGAGCTCAGAGAGAAGATTTCCACTGAACTATTTTTGTAGGGATGGGACAAAATACAACCAGCTCTCATAACCTCTCCTGTAATACAAGTAATTGATGGTGCTTCATTCTGTCTTGGCTATAGACATTTCACCACAACACTATACATACCCTAAATACTGAAATACGTGCATAGTTTTGTATAGTTCGTAAGAAAAGCTAATTAATAGATAAAAAAGCTGGGGAAGTGACGAGGATGAAGACTCATAAAAAGTCAGCACTTCATCTGCAAAACAGCAATCCAAATTAGATTTGGCAGATCACTTTACCCGAAAAAGACAGCATCTGATGCTGACTTTCAGAGAAATGTCAGTATTGTGTGAAGTACTGTCTGTAGATGGATTACTGTTTGCCATTAATGCAAATGTTGCTTTTTATTTCACAGAAAAGTTAGCATTTTGTGTGTATTCCTGAGATTGCTGATGAAATATCAATTCCCATTTTGGTGTAAATGCTGAGGTTGTCTTTTACAATGTAAGAGCTTTAAGACGGTACTGGCAAAGTTACATACGTTGTTTTACATTACATTCTATAGCATTATGAGTAGCAAGAACACAGGTGATATCTTAAACCAATTATATCCACATGCATGAAGACTAGGTTTTATCAAAAAATTTGGCAGCTAAGCACATTATCTTCTTGTTGTGACAAAAATGTTTTTAAGGGGATGCTTTCATTTATGGAGTAAAAATAAACCTAGGAAAGAGCCTTAGAAGATGCTAAGAAAATTCAAAGATAATTAAATTTAAAGCTCATTATTGAACTTAAACTAAACCAACTAGGAATACTTCTCATTACATTTATTTAATATTGCAGTTTCAGGGTGACTGAAAATATCAGACGCTACAGAAAGAGCCATCAGAGTAAAATCCACTAACTCTCTAAAAATGCTCAGCTACCTCTTCTGATGAGTTCATCGCTTACCATTTTAATCATTGTCTTTTTTGCCATCTAGTCAAAATCGTGTCATGTTCTATTCATACTTCTGTTGTAATAAGAGGAAAACAGATTATAAATACTTCACAATTTTCCAAAAATATTTTTTTTTAAGTGAGAGACACTGAAGAAATAACTGAGGAGTACTTTGCAATTGAAAGCTGCATTTTTTTCTCTCTAAGAATAAAGTTTCCAAGAACTTGCTTCAATAGGATTAGGAATTATACCAGGCCTCAAGACAAATCAGCAATTTATGTAGAAGATGGTGGAGAATCCATTTGCACACTTCTGGATACTGTCAGCTGGCCAGATATCAAAGGAAATACATTCATTTCTCCAAGTGAGCATCTCACCATCCCTTTGTTACTGATTCTTGAGATCTGAAAACGCCGATATTGTTTTGTGAATTTGTGCACCAAAAACTCAATTCTTCCACAAAAGATCACAATATGGGATAGGGCTGACTGAAAATAATGAAACTTCAATGGTCCTTAGAGATTCTTTAAGAATAATGTCATTTTTTTTATTCACCAAGAGCTGTACTTCACAGCCTTCTAAGTACAAGCCTTCTGTGAGCATTGTGATGAAAGCCTGTTTCCCATGGGGTAACATCTTATCACCTTCACCCCCTTAACATCCATTTCAGCACCTCCCAACACCCCCTGTGCTTCCAGGCTGCCAAAATGCAGGCTCACAGGGAGCTTTCTGCTGGGCAGAAGGGTGAACCTCCACCTGCCTCCTCTCAGCATTTCTAGCAAACCTGTTTTTCCATTTGTTGAATTGGGCTGATGGGTTCATAAAGTTATCTGGAGCCACTGAAGACAGAAAAAGCAGGATACAAAACATAAATGGATAAGCACGACCATGTAAGCGTATGACAATTTACAGAAAATTAGTCTTAAAAATATGAGGAAGAGCTCCCTAGCATCTGTGACTACTCAGCAAGGCGTAACCCAGCAGAACTAGCTGCTCAGTGCTGCAGAGACCAATGTGAAGTAAATGCCACGGGCTGAAGGGGAGGTATGCTTAGCCTAAATAGCAGGATTATGTTCTCAGTGATAAGGGCAGTGAGCTAGTGGGAAACTACGTGAAACCACCAAGCTGCCACAGCAAGAGTCTCACCATGAGCAGAGACGTGTTGCGTTGGCTACAGCTACGTTTAATTGCAATCTTCTGCTTCCCGTGTTTCTACAATTGCAAATATTATTAGCAGATGGTAGCTGATCTGTGGTTACACCAACAACATCCGTCCCTGCTGGTTCAGCTCTCGGACAGATTCCTGAAACTGCATGACAAAATGCAAGCATGCGCAGGGAGCGTGTGCTGCCAGCACGTCAAGAGGGATGTCCATGGGCAGCCTGGGGCTGGCAACGAAGAGACAGTGTGCAGCAGGGAGGGCCGGCACAGGGCCAGGCATGTGGGACATCTTCCTGCTCATCCACAGCAGTCACCCATCCTGACAGCCCACACAGGGCAGGGTGCTCAGCGAGTGTCACTGCACCCCTCTGCCAGGACAGGATCCTACCCATGGGGTGCTCAACCCAAGGTGCTCTGCCTCACCACGGATCACCACATCACCATGGTAATCTTGCAGAAACTCAAATCCAAATATTCTGTTTTTTCTCTGACCTGATGGCAGGAGAGCACCCACCCCCTGCTTGCTATTGGCAGCGTGATCCCGTAGACCTTGCAGACATGAAACTCGACTGAATTCAATGCAAACCTTCATGTCAAACAGATGGAAGAAATCAGATTCTCATCTCATCTGAAAACATTCTTCACAATTATAATTTACTTCTAATGATTCAAATTACTGCCTAAGTGCTATATGCTTTAACTTTTGGTTAGCCCTGAAGTGGTCAGGCAGCAGGACTTGATGATCTTTGTAGGTCCTTTCCATCTGAGCTATTCTATTATACTCTAGTTTAGTCTGGTCTACTCTATTCCAAATATTTACCTTCAAGACAACTATCGTGAAATACTTCAGTAGCATATCTTAGTTCCTTACAGCATTATGCAACTCCAGGCTGAAATCACAGAAGCCTGAAAAAGTCTCAACCTGTGCTGGACTCGTTATGCAGAGTGGGGTCATAAAATTGTTAGGCAACAAGAATGGGGGGGTTGCATACTCTTCTCCTTTAACCTATGTCTTGAAAGTTTGATTCAGTGACTTTTCTTCAAATAATTTCTACGACCATGCCTACAGTCTTTCTTTCTCTACAGCCTACTGATGGGGATAGCACTCAATAGTCATTCCACATTTATGTTAACCATTAATCACAGACTTTTGCTGAGATTTCTGAAGTAGCCTAGGAGACTGAGATACATAATTTCTATTTATTTTACTAGGCATTGTGCATCAGAATCCCCAAAGGTGGCTTTGGCTATGTCAGCAAACACTGTATTTATGATTTAATATAATCATGGAATGACTACGGAGAACGGTAGACAAATCTCTGGCCTCATCTGTAATGCCCTACTGTATTTTGTGTCTAATTTGTGGCCATTTGACCAATCACTTTTGTTTAGCACACTGCTAAAAGCACTGAAATGTAGCAGGGCAATTCATACGTGGATGAAGCTAATAAAAAACAATCTGATAACAACAGCAAGTATTATCAGTATTAGATTCTGGATCATAGCAGTTAATAAAGCAGCCTACATGCAAATTGTACCGCTCTGTCCTGAAGAGTCAGTCCCAAAGCACTTAGCAAATTACACTCTGAAACTGCTTCTGCCTCCGAAACAGAAGCGCTGGAGCATCCTCTGTCTTTTGAGCAGGGTCAAAATTCAGCCCTAAGGCAGCGTGTGAGTGGTGCAGTGAATTGGAGCTGCTTATCTCTGCAGGCCCTGACTAAAATTACGAGATCAGAAATTGGGGGGTGGGAGGGCAGTTACGTGATGATCTCATTTTAGTGCACAGCAGCTTTTGGATAACTCACAAAAACAAGTGTCCTAGATTCCCCTAGCTGTCCTTCTCTGGCAAGTTATGGGCCACAAGGATACCTACTTGGGGCTGGGATTCAGTGTTTACCTGGGAGTTGAAAGGAAGAGTTAGGCCCTCTGTTCTGCAGTACTGAATATCTGTTCTTCCCTTAGAGGAGTAATGCAGTTACAAGGTAGACAAACCCCACACCAAAAGGTCTTGCCAAACTACTACAGTTGAAACCTTCTGCTGGGATGAAGGAAGGTCAGGAAGGGTTACAGCCCATATAATTTTCTCAGTGTGAGAATACTTTGTTAAATCCCTGCCATGCCCAAGGGACAACCAGTCCCACACCATCTTAGCCCTCTCCATTTCTACTAGAAAGCCAAGTGGGAGTTTTGCCCTAGGCTGCAGTGAAAGAAGGCTTCAGCTTTTCCAAGATGCCCACAGTGGACTGCAGCTCTTTGCCCTCCCTGCGGTGTGCAGGGCTGCAGCTGCTCAGACATAGCACCGTGTTCACTGTGGGACTGCACAAGGCACACGCTGAAGAGGGGGTTCAGTCCTGTTTACAGTACAGACAGACATCTTTCAAAGTCTGGTCTTTCTTCCAGTTCCAATCTGGAAAAAAACATTTTAATTGAAACCAGAAGCTGATTTGCATCTCCATTTTGTACCTTCTTCTAGCAAGGCACTGATGGGCATGCTTGTGAATCAGCACACGGGGAGGATTCATTTCTTTCTTCTAGTGAAATCATAAATAATTGTTCTCCTCCACAAAAAAAAAAAAAAAAAAAAAAAAAAAAGAACCAACCTACGTTTCCAGGGCACTTGCTAAATGCTTCTCAGTGGCACATCCTTATTTTGAAAAGTCCATAGGATCTCTAGGTTTAGGGGAAATTGATAGCTAGGGGGTTTCTGCTTTTCTGTTTATTGAAGAACAGTCGTAGGAGTATTTCACAATATAGTTTTCTGAATGTCACCGTCAAGACAGCATCTACGGCAAAATCAGGAAACGGAATTCCTTGTTACATGCTTCTGAGAAATGCAATTTCTGGTTATCCTAGCAAGTTTCCAACTCAGCTGTCCCTCCAAGCTGTCCCAGTGCTGGAGTCTGCCCCAGCCAAGAGCACACCCTGCATCCTGCTGTGCAGCACTGCCTGTGCTGTGCCCTGCTCAGATCACTCAGGCTCCGTCCAAGCTCTCCACAATCCCCCCAAGCCCTCCTACAGCAGTAGTATGAGATGCTGAGGTGGAGCAGGAAAGCAACCCACCCCCCTTCTCCCAACACTGCTACATTCAGATCAAATGCAAAGCTTGCTTGTTTTGTTCTGCTGCTCCACACCGCATGGAGCCAAAGCTTTTCATTTCCTTCCAAAAGCCACAGCAAAAATCCAAACGTAATTGGCAACTTACCCGAAGCGGCCGGCTAAACTCATGGAGACGCAGAAGAGGAAGAAGTTTTTGATCATGATAAAGCCAGAGACCGTTCCATTGTCCATTCCAGAGGAGATGCGTAACGCAGGTGGTTGCTTGGGGGAAGGTGCAGCTGCTCACTTTGGTCTCACTCTGCAACAATGCAAAAAGAAAAAATTATCACAGGTCGGAGCAGCAGGACGGCCGGGCTCAGCCAACACCACGTCTTCTGCTCCCTGTGTTTCTCACAAACTTATGGAGGCTTATGTAAACATCAGCTGTTTATGTAAAATTCTATACTGGCAAGGACGTGCTTTACCTTCTGCTGACAGCAAACTGCAAAACAGGGAAAATTCTTGGTGGCCCACTTTTCCTTTCCATTCGTTCGTCACCGAAGGCATAGTCACCATTTTCCATGCGCCGCTTCCGACCCTTTCCCCATCTCGACAACTTCCCCACGTCTGCAAACCCAGGGCTGTATGCAGCCTCCGCATCCCCGTGCTCCGTCGCAATCTTTTCCCATTAACTACCCGGCTTCCCTTTCCAAAATCCCAGTGAAAATGCCAAGAAACACCTACTGCTTCTTGGAATCCACGCTGCTGATGCACGGCTTCGCAAAAAAATGGGGGGTGGGAAGGGGGGGTAGGGGGTGTCAAAAGTGACCTTCCTTGCAAAGGCACGGGAACCTCCCGCTATCACCGAAGCTGCTCCAGTGCCTGCTGCTCCTCGGGTACCTGCCTCAGCCACCACACCACCGATCTCAGCATCGTGTGCTACCGTTTTCCTCTGTGCCCTACGATTTAAAAAAAAAAAAAAAAAAGACACAAATAAAAACCAAACCCAAAGACCCCCTACTCCCCACTAAAGCCCGGAGGGAACCGCATGTCATTGCCACCCGCTCCCCACACCATACCATACCATACCCCCTCTCTACAACTTGCTCCCCCGGCCCGAACGCACAGCCGCCCCCGCGCCGCTGCCCCGCGCCGCGTCCCGCTGCCTCCGCACCGCACCGCACCGCACCGGCGTCCCGGACAGCCGCTCCCCGCAGCCGCTCAGCCCCGGACCGCCCGCACCTGCCCGCATCCCGCACCCCTTCCCCACGTTCCCAAAGTTTGCGGCCGCCATGTGAGGGTCCGTCCGCCTCTCCCGGTCAGGACTCGGATCCCGCCGCTTACCCGCGAGGGTCGAGGGCGAGGGGGTGGCGTCGGCCCGAAAGTTGCGGCGCGGAGCGGGAGCGGCGCCGCTGCCTCTCCCGCCGCTGCCAGGCGCGGCCCCGCCGCAGCGCCGCGCCCGCGCCGCCCCCGCGCGCAGCCCGGCAGCGGGAGCGCGGTGGGTGCGCGGGGCGCGCCCGACCCCGGGGGTCTCGGCACGGCCCGGCCCGGGGGCTGCGGACAGTGGAGGCGTGGGCGGGGCGGGACTCCTCGTTCGCCCGCGCACACCTGGATGCGGCCGTATGGGCGTGTGGATGGGCATAGACACCGTGTGTGTATTCGACTTCTGTAGGCAGTGCACCTGGGTTACGCCGCTCTAGGCCTGTTGACAGCACCGGTGTGACGGCAGCGTTGGGTTAGGTTTCAGGATACAATGCGGGGATGTGGTGGTGGCTGAACGGGGCAAGGAGGGGTTACTGCTCCAACGCTTTGTGCACGGGGCTCTGCAGCAAGTGTGGTGCCAGGCACACGTGTGGTGTGGGTAGGAGGTGTGCTTTGGGCTATCCGAATGTTCAGCTGACCAGGCGATACACACAGAGGGTGGTGATGCGCTGGAACAGGTTGCCCAAGGAGGCTGTGGATGCCCCATCCTTGGAGGCATTCAAGGCCAGGCTGGATGTGGCTCTGGGCAGCCTGGTCTGGTGACTGGTGACCCTGCACATAGCAGGGGGTTGAAACTGGATGATCATTGTGGTCCTTTTCAACCCAAGACACTTTATGATTCTATGATGATGGGATGGGTGCCGTGGCTACAGCACAGTCCTCACTCCTCTAAGTTCCCTGATGTGTACTCAGCATTTTGCATTACCTGTGATAAATATCACAGAATCATAGAATCATTAAGGTTGGAAAAGATCACCCAGTCAAACCATCAGCCCACCCCCACCATGCCCACTGACCACATTCTTCAGTGCCACGTCCACATGGTTGAACACCTCCAGGTGACTGCACCACCTCCCTGGGCAGCCTGTGCCACTGCCTCAGCACCATGGCTGTGCTTGGAAATAATGCTCCAATGAGGTGATGTCCCTCCTTCAGGTAGCCCTGCAGCTCAGTGTACCATCGGATCAAAAACCTCCGAGGAAAGGATCCCACCGCTGAAGGCAGGATGGGACGAGCAGCTCCCTACCCTGCAAGATGCTCCCCGGGGTTCAAATCCTCTATTTGTGGCTCGATGCTGTTCTCAGGCAATGAATGACATGTGGTTGTCCCCGGGGTGCAGAGCCAATGCCACACGTTGGTCCCCTCCTCTTTCCTTGGTGACCACAGCATCACAGAACTGTCAGGTTGGAAGGAAGCTCTGGAGATCATCGAGTCCAACCCCTCTGCTAAGACAGAATCCCTACAGCAGGCTACACGGGTGGATACAGAGTTGTGAATGAACCCTGTCAGAGCCCAAAAAGAGGCAGCATGGAGCGACGGGAGCTTTTCCCGCTGTTACTGCATAGGAGTGTTTAAATACCAGATTTCTTACAGCGAGTTGCTTTCCGTCTCCAACTATTCACACCTCCACACAGGTGACGTTGTGAGAACGGTGTTCTCTCTCCCTAACCCGACGAACGAGCCTTAGGAACTCCTGCTCTGGGTCTCCCTGCCGCTAAGGGAGCCGTGCCCTGTCCAGCGCTCCCGCAGCTCTTCGGGGCCTCACACAAAACAAAATCAAAAAAGCTCCGGACAGGATTTGCCCGACAGGCAGCAGGTTCGCTACACGCGTGTTTACCGCGCGGCAGCGCTCCAGCCCCGCCCGGCCCGGGCCGCCCCAGCGCCGTTCTCTCCCCGCGCCGCCGCCGGGGGGCAGCGCGGCTCCACCCAGCCACGGGTGCGCCGCTGGGAGACGGCCGCGAGGGGGCGCCCGCGCGCTGTTGCCCGATCCCGTCTTCGCATGGGTCGCCCCGCCGCGTGCTGTGGGGCTCTGCAGGCAGCGGCAAAGCTCACGTACTTCTGCAAGAACGCAGTTTGTTTTTTAGACGGTAAGCTTTCTTGCAAGTAAGAGCTACTTTGTGTTAGAGGTTCGTGCAGCACTTTAGATGAGAGTAGTGCTCACAGACGGTTTGCCACGGAAGGACTGAGGCGGCGTTCTTACTTTTTGCCAGGTGTGGATGTGAAACGTGAAGAGGGCTCAGGTGAGGGACGGGTGGGGCTGGCGCTGCGAGCACAGCCAGTGCGGGAGATGGGTTACCCTGAGCGCTGCTTTGCTCTGATGCCCAGGCCTGGGCAGATTGACAGAATTATAGGATCATAGAACTGTGCAGGTTGGAAAAGACCTTGAAGATCATCGAATCCAACCACAACCTAACCATACTACTCTAACTCCAACAGCCCTCCGCTAGATCATGTCCCTGAGCACCACATCCAAACGGATTTTAAACACATCCAGGGATGGTGACTCAAGCACCTCCCTGGGGAGCCTATTCCAGTGCTTAACAGCCCTTTCCGTAAAGAAGTGTTTCCTGATATCCACCCTAAACTTACCCTGGTGCAACTTGAGGCCATTTCCCCTCGTCCTGTCACCTGTCACCAGTGAGAACAGACCAACCCCTCTCTTGCTGTAATCACCATTCAGATACCGAAAGAGAGCAATAAGGTCTCCCCTCAGCCTCCTTTTCCCCAGGCTAAACGGCCCCAGTTCCTTCAGTGGCTCTTTGGATAGAGAGATGAAGGTCACATTTTACTCACCTCTGAGTGGACCAGTTACAGGTTCTCTGCTTTGTAACCATAGGTGTTATGCAAACAGCATGGGCATGGCTGTACTTAAGAGGTACTTAAGCTTCTGCGCAGCCCTTATGGGAGTCAGGTGAGTTCGAAAGCCTGAAGTAAGTGCATAGAGAGCAAACAGAAATGAATTTTGCATTCTCTCGGTGTGGCTGCTTACTGAGCAGTGGCAGTTCATGTATCCTGAAGTTCCCAGGCAATTTTCTGTGGATCTCCCACTGCTCTAAAATTTAACTTTTAGCCATGAAATATGTGAACCATTTTGCATACAGAGCAACAATAATGCAAAAGTGTTCTTCTATATTATATATAAAACTGTTCTTCTATATTCTATTAGTTAGAAGCTATGATGCTTCTAACTAATGTGTTCAACTAGAGGTGCTCAGCTGCCCCTGGACGGCCTGATCTGGTGAGCTCTGTCTGCAGCAGTGGGTTGGAACTAGGTGATCTGTAAGGTCCCTTCCAATCCAAGCCATTCTGTGATTCTGTGATTCGATGATTATGCTAAACACTGGTGACATATGCTTACATCTAAAATGTTACAGCTTTCTGTGTACACTTAGCACATTTTTTATTGCGCACAAGTGGGCATCAAATAAGAAAACTTCTGAGCTGAGGCTTTACGATGCAATAATAGATAAAATATGTTTAGTTAATTTCTTCAGAATGGCTAAATTTGCTGGTAAGTGTTTCAGCTGGCTGGAGCAGCAGTTATACCTGTTCTTGAGAAATAATGTGGCATTAGGGCAGCATTATGTATGACCATTAAAGCCTCTTATCTCGTGGTTCAAGTCCATCTTTTCAGTATCTCACTGCCTCTTTCATTTCTTGAAAGGACAGAGTACACCTTTAATTGTATTAAGCAAAAAACAACTCACTCTCTATTCTTAAGCATTTAAGAAAGCGATTGATGGAGAATAACCACAATGATTTGCTCTCATACATATGATTCATAAAGAAAGATTAATGAAGCTTAAACCAGAGGATACAAGTTGTACATCAGTATTCCTGGGTTTATGCATATGATACTATACATGTAATTCCTTCACAGCAGGAAGGAGAGAACAAATCTTCGAAGTAACAACATAAAAATCATTGAACTAAGACCGATGGATTGATCTTGATAAATTCTTCATTAAGCATATATTCAAATGTCTCATGGACAGCCTAATGTACTTAGTGATGTTAAGGATAGAGTATGTGAAGTTTAGAAATTGGTTAAATATGGCCAATGTTATTATACATACATATGTATGTACATCTCTCATATTTAGGTTATACGCTATAAATATTTATGCCTATTGATACATATTTGTACATAACAAGTCTACCTGTCATCTGGGTTTTGGCTATGTAAATGCTCAGATAAGATTGGATTAGCATGTTTTAAGTTGTTTTGATGAACTCGCATCTCTTTTGGCTGCTATAGTTACCATATTTACTGCATTTCTCTGGGTTGCTTAAAAGTGCGCTGGGCAAATTGACAGAACTCATTATCTCTGTTTGTGATCAACACAGGTATCTGTCAATGATGCCAGCAAACATTAGTTTGCACACTTGTAAAATTTTACAAATGCTTTCAAGTTACCCTTTAATGACTCACAGTAATAATTAGCTGCCACTACAAAAAATACATTAATGCATACCATTTGGAAAGATGTAGACACAACTTACATTTATTTTAGGATTTGCAGTATACTGCTTTTCAGACTGAAATTGCTGGCAGGGGTTTGGTGGGAATAAATGTTGTCAGCAGTTCCAAATCCCATTAAAGCTGACTTCTGTTATATAGATTCAAGTGCTCTAATTAATAAAATTTCAAGAAAAAAATAGCTGTTAAATGGTTCGATCTAGAATTAACATTTACAGAAAATGGAAAGAGCTCCTAAAAAAAAAAAAAAAAAAAAAAAAAGAAGACAAATTAACCTCCAAATGCCTTGTTTTGGAAAAGTTTTTGGTGGGGATTTCAGAGTGATCTACTATAAGACATCAAGAAGATAAATATTAATGATTGAACTATATCAAGCATATACCATACCGGGTGATGTCAGTCGTAGAACTTCATATGAAAACCTTTCCTCAGTTCCAGTGCACTAAAATTCAGAAAGAAACAATTAATAGCATATATTATATGTATCAGTCACTTAGCTGGACCTTCATGTACTATAAATTGGCATAAGTGAAGGGCAGTGGAACTATGCCCATGCATCAGCAAAGGTTATGCCTTGAGTGTGACCCAGTAATTATGAGTCAGTCCACGAGTGTTTGTTGGAGTCTGAAGAATGAGATTTGCATGAATAATAAGTAGGGACTTTTTTTTTTTCTCCTGGCAAA